TTAGACAGGCATGGTGATGGGCATCTGTATCCCAACTTCTTGGAAGGCTGAGGCAGGAGAATCGCTTGAACCTGGGAGGCAGAGGTTACAGTGAGCCGAGATCACACCACTGCACTCCAGCCCGGGCGACAGTGTGAGACTCCACCTCAAAAACAAAAACAAAACAAAAAAAAAAACAGAAAACAAAAATCCAGGAGACTCATAAAAAGTGGAAAAAACAAAGGCCTAATTCAAAAGATATAAGCTGGTGTAATTTTTTTCCTCTCTTAAGAAGTAGGGTCGGGTACAGTGGTTCACACCTATAAATCCAGAATTTTGGGAGGCCTAGGTAGGTGAATCACCCGAGGTCAGGAGTTCAAGACCAGCCTCACCAACATGGTAAAGCCCCATCTCTACTAAAAATACAAAATTAGCCAGGTGTGGTGGCACATGCCTGTAATTACAGCTACTCCAGAGGCTGAGCAGAGAATCACTTGAACCCCGGAGGGGGAGGTTGCAGTGAGTTGAGCTCTTGCCACTGCACTACAGCCTGGGCAACACAGCAAGACTCCATCTCCAAAAAAAAAAAAAAAAAAAGTATTTTGTACATCTAGGGCATCTGAGATAACAAATGCTATTTGATTTTATTTTTAGTAGTCCAAGGGATTTTCTCTAATTGTTTTAATTTTTAAATACATAATAGACCCACATGAATTCAAATTTTTGGAAGAAGAAGATATGCTATAAAAAATTTTCTTCCCACTTCTGTCCCTTAGCAACCAGTTTCCTGACTCAGAAACAAGCAATCTTTTCTGATTTTTATGTATTCTTTATTTTATACATAAACAAACACACACACATACACACACACCATCTTTCTCTTGCTTTTTGTGCCCTTGTGAGCATTCTAAACATTGTATCCTGTCCCTTGCTTTTTCCACTTAACATATGTGCAGGGCCGGGCGCGGTGACTCAAGCCTGTAATCCCAGCACTTTGGGAGGCCGAGGCGGGTGGATCACAAGGTCAAGAGATCAAGACCATCCTGGTCAACATGGTGAAACCCCGTCTCTACTAAAAATACAAAAAATTAGCTGGGCATGGTGGCGCGTGCCTGTAATCCCAGCTACTCAGGAGGCTGAGGCAGGAGAATTGCCTGAATCCAGGAGGCGGAGGTTGCCGTGAGCTGAGATCGCGCCATTGCACTCCAGCCTGGGTAACAAGAGCGAAACTCCGTCTCAAAAAAAAAAAAACATATGTGCAAACATGAAGTACATACACCTCTCTCACTCTTTCATTCTTTCCTTTTTCTTCTTTTAGAAACGGTGTCTCACTCTTTTACCTTGACCGGATTCAGGCTCCTAGGCTTAAGTGATCCTCCCACTTCAGCCTCGCAAGTAGCTGGATTATAGGTGCATGTCCCAGCTCTCATTATTTTTGTATAGCCACACAGTATTCCATTATATGGATGTACCATACTTTATTTAATGAGCCCTCTATTAGTGGATATTCAAAAGTTGTTTTTAAATTTTATTTCCAATCTTTGTTATTACAAGATTGGCATCGTAAATAATTTTGTATGCATTTATATCTATACATTCCTTGAAGTAGAATTCTGAGTCAAAGGACATGTGCATTTGTCATTTTGCTAGATACTGCCAAATTTTCTCCAAAGAGGTTGCGCCATTTAAACTGCACCAGCATTGTACAGAGTACCTGTTTCCTCATTCTCCCCTTTAAAAAAATATTCAGGCCGGGCGCGGTGGCTCACGCCTGTAATCCCAGCACTTTGGGAGGCCGAGGCGGGTGGATCACGAGGTCAAGAGATCGAGACCAACCTGGTCAACATGGTGAAACCCCGTCTCTACTAAAAATACAAAAAATCAGCTGGGCATGGTGGCGCTTGCCTGTAATCCCAGCGACTCAGGAGGCTGGGGCAGGAGAATTGCCTGAACCCGGGAGGCGGAGGTTGCGGTGAGCCGAGATCGCGCCATTGTACTCCAGCCTGGGTAACAGGAGCGAAACTCCGTCTCAAAAAAAAAAAAAAAAAAAAAAATTCACCACTTTCTTCCCTGAGCCTGAATGTTCTAGTTTTCTAGGCTTTCTCTATTCTGGGTCTTGGCTGCATAAATCCCACATTTTAACATCAACTCTCTGTTGCCATTTGTCACTGTTCCCACCCTCCCCTGAACCACAAAGACCTTGCATTCACCCCAGATATCCTGGCTTGGGTCATGCCATTTTCTCCGCTGGAATGTCTTTTCTTGACAATACCATCCCTCCAACCAACCCAGCTTTCGAATTTCTCCTTTTACGCGCATGAAGCTTTTCCCAATTATCTGGCTCTTATTGAGCTCCTCTAAGAACTTCCCAACAACAAATTTATTGTGCCATAAAAGGGTTACAGGCAGCCAGGCGCAGTGGCTCACACCTGTAATCCCAGCACTTTGGGAGGCCAAGGCGAGCAGATCACCTGAGGTCGGGAATTCAAGACCAGCCTGACCAGCATGGACAAACCCCGTCTCTGCTAAAAATACAAAATTCACTGGGTGTGGTGTCGCATACCTGTAATCCCAGCTGCTTTGGAGGCTGAGGCAGGAGTATTGAGTGAACCCAGGAGGCAGGGGTTGCAATGAGCCGAGATCATGCCATTGCCCTCTAGCCTGGGCAACAAGAGCGAAACTCAATCTCAAAAAAAAAAGGGGTTACAGGCAGATGGAGCTACTGATCCATCTCAGATCTCAGGATAGGCAGGCAGGGGCTGCGTGAGAGCCCCTAGATTGGCATTTCTAGCCAGGTCTGCTTTATCAGTTTACCCAAGAGTCCATACTATCATCATTTTCTATGCATGCCATGACATGAAAAATGAAGATGAGCTTACCAAGAACACCAGGCTGGCACAAAGTCGATGCACAGTGAATACTGTCCAATTGATTGACATGATTTGCCTTAGATTCATTGTTGTCTTCCATAATCATTTCTGCTTTTAGCCATAACAGCCACTAGTAAATGCTATTATTGTTTTTTTCCTCCTTTCCATTATGTAAAAATAAAACCTACACTCTACTTCACCTGGATCACTTCCTACTTCCTGAACATCCTGAAACTTTGTAACCAACATCTCCACCTTCAGCTCTCCTCAGGGATGATCAGGAAGATTCACCAGCACCTCCAGGGAGCACTGAGGGAGAGGTGAGGCCCTGACAGAATCAATACACACAGCTTTGATAGAAATGGGAGCCTCCGATGAGTGCTGATGAAGCAACTAGAGGTAGAGCCCTTGTTACAGACTTCACCTGTGTCTCCACCTTTGACTGTTCTGGCATCAGCAGTGCTGGCGGTCACACTATGGTCAGCAGGGACACCCACATCATAGCCTGATACCTGCACTCAGCTGTTGTGATGGTGACCGTAGCAGGCAGGCAGCGCCACTTTTTTATAAATATCTCAAAAGGCAGGCTGTATATGAAGAGGATACCCCAACAGCTAACCTTTATATGAAGTTTCTTTTTTTTTTTTTTTTCCTGAATGGCCCACCACAGCTGCACCAATGGGGTTTCTATATGTGAGATATCATACTTTACATATGTTAATTCATTTCCAATCTCACAATTGTAATAAAGAAGTATTATTCTTATCATTCCTTTTTTTTTTTTTTTTTTTTTTGAGACAGTCTTACTCTGTCACAGGCACCATCGTCAGCTCACTGCAACCTCTGCCTCCCAGGCTTAAGAGACTCTCCTACCTCAGCCTCCCAAGTAGCTGGGATTACAGGTGTGTGCCACCATTTTTGTATTTTCAGTAGAGACAGGGTTTTGCCATGTTGGCCAGGCTGGTCTTGAACTTCTGGCCTTAAGTGATCTGCCTGCCTCAGCCTCCTAAAGTACTGGCATTAAAGAAGTGAGCCACCACACCCAGGCTTGTCCCTATTTTCTTTTTTTTTTTTGAGATGGAGTTTCACTCATGTTACCCAGGCTGGAGTGCAATGGCGCGATCTCGGCTCACCGCAACCTCTGCCTCCTGGGTTCAGGCAATTCTCCTGCCTCAGCCTCCTGGGTAGCTGGGATTACAGGCACGTGCCACCATGCCCAGCTAATTTTTTGTATTTTTAGTAGAGACGGGGTTTCACCATGTTGACCAGGATGGTCTCAATCTCTTGACCTCGTGATCCACCCGCCTCGGCCTCCCAAAGTGCTGGGATTACAGGCTTGAGCCACCGCGCCCGGCGTACATTTGTTCTTTTATATTGACTTTTTTCCAAGTCCCAATGCAAAAATAGAATAGAATCCAGAAATTAGTTCAATGAGCCATATGAAATTACCTTTATCTGAAGAACACTTTTTTTTTACTATGACCTCTGAAGCAACTTTTATTTAAAAATTTAATAACTAGGCCGGGCGCGGTGGCTCAAGCCTGTAATCCCAGCACTTTGGGAGGCCGAGGCGGGTGGATCACGAGGTCAAGAGATCGAGACCATCCTGGTCAACATGGTGAAACCCCGTCTCTACTAAAACTACAAAAAATTAGCTGGGCATGGTGGCGCGTGCCTGTAATCCCAGCTACT